GTAGGGACTCATTTCGTTGTGGTGTGTTGAGGAATTTATGGTCGATTTTAGTGTTGTAATTTTACTAGCCATCGAGGGGGTGGTGAGTCAAGAACGAACCGCGAGTTCTGGTGGTGGGGATCTTTAGTCAGCCTCCATACAGTGGCCGGAGGTTGTGACGGTGGTGATTGTGGTGGTTCGGGTATTGACTCAAAAGGGTTTAACACCCTTGAGGTGGTTTAGTATATATAATAGAGCAACTTTTTTTTTTCTTTTTATTTGAGTTGGAATTGTTATTTGTTTGTTTTGAGTATTTGATGTGTTCTTGTTAGCAATTTGTTTTATTATTATTATTATTATTATTATTATTATTATTAATTATTATTATTATTATTATTATTATTATTATTTCTTTGGTCTCTGTAAAATAATTAAATGCTGGATTCAGAGTTTGCAGGGAAAAATGGAAATGGGTGGCGCCTGCATTTATTGCATGGCTCCTCATAACATTTGCTTCAAGTTTACGCATCGTAGGCGCGTGTTCTCCATGCATTTTTCTTGTGGATCAAAATATTCGAGAAATTCATCCTATATATAATTCCCGAATGTGCTGAACTTAAGTGGCGGACTCGCATGTTTCGGGATTTTATTTGTTAAAATTTTATGCTTCATTGTTTGACTTTGATAGATTTTAATTTAAATTTAATCCCAAAATAATTAGGTTCGGATTACCATAAATATGTTGATTTATTTATTATCATGTTAGATGTATTAATTGTATCTTAATATCATTTCCCATTATAACCATGAATTGTAAATGTATTTTCAAAGTTGATAACTTTTGTATTTCTTATCGGTTTTACATATATAATATACCAAATTAATCGTCTTTGGATGAGCTTTGATTTGACATCCATGTTGTATATATAAAATAAATAAATTATATTTAGTTTTATAATAATAATAAAATTATTTACTAAAACTAAATAAAAAAATAAAATTATTTCTAAATTTATATATTTATGTTTAATGTAGTTATATGTTATAAGTTTGAAAAATTATTATAATATAACATATGTAAGTTGCACAACAGCACAAGTAACAAGTGTCATATTAAAATATATAATAATATATATTTTTATTTTTTTTTTAATTTTCAATCACTTTTTTCTCATTAATTTTAAATTTTAAGAAAAAAAAATTAGGAAGCACCCGTGTAATACACGGGTGTTGTACTAGTGTTATAGATACATAATAGTATTGTATAAAAGGATGTACATAATACTCACATTGAATAGGACTTACCAAAAATAAAAAATCAGTGGAACCCATTCTATGTGAGTGTTATGTACACCTCTATGTACATTTGTTATATACTCGTAGCATTTTTTGAAATATTTTGGCCTACGTCACAGTATGTCATTGTTCTGATGTAGTGATTAGTGAAGTATTAGACAAAGTATATTCCTTTGTCTAAACTAGTATTTGACCATTTACATTTGCAAAAATTAATTTTTGTTCATGTGTATTTGCATTGATGTAAATGAAGTGTTATAAGTTATTTGTATGTATATAATACTAAAATTATAAGTTAGATAATAATATTATATTTTAAACATAAAGTATTATGAATTAAATATATGCATATAATATTAAATTATAAGTTATATAATGGTATTATTTAAAATTTGATCATTGGTCAAAAGAAATAGCACATACAACAATTTGATTGATATGAATCGCTATATAGATAGCATAAATGAAATAAATAGTGTAATTTTTGTAAATTCGAGAGATCACGACCAATTAATTAGTTGAAAATATTAAATTTATTATAACCAGTGACGAATCTAGAAATTTTACTCAGGGGGCCCGATTTTAAAAATTAAATAACGAATTTATGGTTTAAGTCGAAACACTCATTTCATATAGAGATGTATATACTATAAACATTAATATCGATATGCGTACGATCAAGTTTTTTAAAACTTAAAATCTGTATCACCCTCAAACTTTTACGAAAATAAACAAAAAATAAATAATTTCATTTATTTATATTTTAAGTTCAACATCTAAAATTTATAGGAAAATATTTTTTTGGTAGAAAAATTGATTGAAATTGAATTTTGATACCACATTGCGCATTTCTGTTGATGAGAACTTATCAAGTGAATAATATTTAAGAAAATACACATGAAGTTAAAAATATAAAATTACACAAAAAAGTAAAAAAAAATCACCATTAAAAAATATAACAATCCAACCAAATACTCGGTGTTATAAATCACTAAATCGATTTACAATTAAGAGACCTAAGGAGTCAATCATTACAGATATTTTACAAAACTTATCTAGAAAAGTAAAATATAAGGACTTTTAGTGCATTTCTCAATAAAAAATATTATTATTAATTTTAAATTAGAAATAGCATAAAAAAAGTTTTAATAACTAATATATTGTAAATATTTTTTTTCATTTCTATGCATATTTTAATAGTATTCTCTCTATATATATATATAAATATATATATATACATAGATTTTTTTTTTAAAAAAGTGAGGGGGGCCCACGGGCCCCCATGGCATGTTGTAGGTCCGTCATTGATTATAACAATTGCTTATGCGATTTTAAGTATTTTTATTATGACATTAAAACAAATTATTTTTTTTTTAAAAAAAAAAACAAGAACAAAATGTTTTTAAAATATAATTTTTTATGTTTGTTTAACTTTTATATATCATTTCACTAGGTACACATTATTCATTAATTCAAATATTCATTAATTCAAATTTATTGAAGCTTCTAATTTAAATTATTGGCATTCATTTTATGAGGTACACATTACTGTCTTTCATGGATATGGGTATAAGGACCAGTCATCATGCAAATCTTGAAAAATAGTGAGAGTTTCCATTTGAGAGTTAAACTCTATGCACTACACAAGAATCCAATAAAGCAATGATTTTATTTTGGAGCTTTTTTTATATTTTGTCAATGCTTGATATAAATATGCAAGTCTTAATTAGAAACATAATTAGGAGATAGGGTCCATTTGGGAAATATGTAAAGACAAAGGACTGGATTGAAAAAATTCCTCCAATTTGTCCAAATCAGTGATATTTCATTTTCCAATTTGTACACTATCCTTTCATCACAATAGGGCTTATGGCAGAGGATTCTTTCATTTAGTTTTATATTCAGATCCCTTTGGAATTGGCACATTCAATTGTGTGAACTTCTTTCAAAGTTTCATTATGATTACTCTCTAAATACCGTTTTGACCGAAATATCAGTTTCTATCTGCTTCATACTGAAAAATACCGGTTGTACCGGACAATACTGGCCAAAATACCGGTTATCCGGATTTTTTTTTTTAAATAAAAAATATTTTATAACCTATTTTTATAGTAATACCGGTTATACCGGATTTAAAAACAAAAAAAAAAATTATAACATATTTTTATTATTTCATTTATATAAATTTAAAGTTCTACACTTTATTTTAATATATTTACATTGTTATTAGGTATTAGTTAATTTATTAGTATTTATTATAGTTAGTATTATACATTGTATATATTACAATAGTAGATTAATTTAATATTTATTAAAAGCGGTAAAATAGACAGTGAAACGGGTTGACCGCGTACCGGTGACTCGTCCGGTATGATCACCAGAAAAGTATTTAAAACATTGAACACGATGACAAAAATTGGTGTGTATGTATAGTTCTTTATTATAATTTATAAGGGTGATGTGATTTGTAAAATTATAACAAGATCATGTGCGTTATGTTCAAGTCTATATCATGTTTATGTTACTGAACCATGATTCATATTCTTTTGGAGCTCATTACATAATACCTAAGGCTATAACTGAATATAATAGAGCACATTGTAGATTGACCATTACTCAAGTAAGGCACAATAGAAATAGATGAGCATACATGACCAAAACACGGGGCCGACGGGCTCAGAATCATGGACCCAGAATCGGCACGGACCTAGGTCGTGCCGGGCTTGGCCGGCCAAGAAATAAAAAAAATTAAAAAACAAACAAACCATGTGGTTTTCTCTGCTCGGTCTGGCCCGTCGGGCCAAGGTCGGAAAAACAAGACTCTAAACCGAACCGGTTAAAATTCGAGTCAGGTTCAGACCCGTAATCAACGGGCTTGTCCAGGCCGGTGGCCCGAGACCACCTCTAGATGAGCCATAGAAATAAAATATGAAAATATTTCACTTGCTACATTCAAAAATATCTTTCAAATTGTTATGGTCCTTTTCATGAAGTTACGGATGAAGTGTGAATGGGTTGAAAATATTTTATCAAATCTGAAAGAAATATTTTAACGAAGATGAACTATTTTATAATGTCACGCCAATTGCGTCTTTTCTTTAAAAAGGTCAAAATTGGACCATTATTGGAAATATGTATCACTCTCTTCAGAGGGGTCTAATGATATTATAATTTACTTCAATGTCAAATTAGTCCACAATTGACATTAATCATTGAAAACAAAATATATTTATTTTCTCATCACACCGTACATCTCAAAATAGACATTGTACCATTGGAGATGATCTATGATACTGGACGTGCATGTCTATTAAGTGTACATAAATCCTAAAGCGGTTAGCAGTAGTAAACCCTGCTCGGCTCGTTAAAATTCAAAGATTCTATACAATACCTTATAATTCAACTTGTTAGGATTCGAGCTTAAATTATTTAAATATTCACTAGTGAGTTATCCACATCATTTATATATGGAAAATACGCATAACTTATAAGTCTAATGAACTACCACT